CAATCATGGTATTACAATTAGGCATTAAAACAGTACTGTGAACAATATATGGTGTTAATGATATATTGGCAGCAGACAGAGAGCAGAAGACCCCTGCTAGCATTCACTATTCACACATTCAATGTGCAAGTACCATGTCACCAAAGGTTTGTTTTGGTTGTGGGGAAGATATGGAAGGAATGTCAGGGGCTGGGAGATAGACAAGGAGGGGGGTGGTTGTTGGAGGTAGAAATGCATCTGGAAGAAAGAGAGAGAAGGGATGTGGGAGTAGGGGAAGAAGGGGGGAGTGACAAATAAATTAAAAAAAGGGGAGGGGGTGGGCAAGGTTACGACTCCTAGCTCCATTCCCCTTCCCCAGGTGAGTGCATATAAGTGCAAGTATTAGAAAAGATTGTGGAAACAAACTGGAATGAATGCAGTGCCTGACTCCTGCCCTTCCCACCAACTCGTGACAAAGGACTCGCCAATCTCACAACGCACTGTCACTTACGTAACAATGCCACTCTCAGCTGCACCCTGCACAAAGATTTTACAGCTCGCAGGACCACAATCTAGGTGTCAGCAGCCTGAGAGGGATTGTCACTGAGTTAAGTTACTAAAGCAATAAACTCTTCAGATAGCTTTGGGCCTATCAACCCTTTACTATATTAGCAAGAACAAACATGAAAAATAAATGTCTGTACACACACTGGCACCACAGACACGTATGTTCAGAGATTTATCATATACAGTAGCACTGTTCAAGAGACAGAGTTCTTTTAGTTTGCATTAGCAGTTAGAGACAATTTCAACACTTTTAAAAATAGGGTTTAATAATTAAAAGGTCAAAATGGTGCAAATAAAATATTTACAGAAAAAGGGTGTTACAAGGAAATAAAGAGACAACAAGGCAAATGAGAAATAAAAAGGCGTTAACAATGAAGAATACTTGTACATGACTTGTACATTTTTCTGTGGTATCAAAGGGGTGTTGACAGAGACCATATGACCAATCATCTGGTTTAAGGGGTGGGTGCTGGGAAGTCACCCAATTTATGACCAGATCCCAAATGCAGTTTCTTTTAGAGATTTATATTTCTGAATACCTACCATTTACAGCCTGCTACCATGCAGATTATTTTCCAGCCTGAAATTAGCTTCAAAATGGATATAGATATGACAGGTCTCGGATATCTATTTCTCATAGGAGGGGTGTGGAGGCAGGCCCAATCCACTCTAGTACTTCCTAGCATAGAGGTGTTTGGGTTAAAAATGCAACTCAATAACTGAGGGAAGTAAAAATGTCTATTCTCTGGCTGTGCTGTCATTCTTTCATAAGTTATGAAACATGCTGAAGTTTTAGAGTCTTGGCTGATAATCAGTCTATCAGAAATGTGAGGGTGATAGTTTTAGGGTTTCCAGATTGAAATTGTGGGTTTGGTGACAGAGAGGTCCGATCAATGGATTGATAAGAAAGTCCTGGCATCAGTTAACAGTTGTGTATTGTGCCAGATGGCTTCTTGGGGGGATGTAAAAGGAGACCACTGCTGCCATTAAGGCTTCTTGTATTACAAACTGTCATGGATGAACTCCGAATAATATGGTTGCCACAGACACAGCTATTCATGCCTGTTTAAAGTTGGTCAGTTTTATGAAGCAGGGCCTGTAATGCATATGAGAATCAACATGGTGGCAGAATTGCAAGCAACAAAAATTTTTTTGTATTTTCTTATGTTATTTTAAGTGTTGAAAGGGTATAATGCTATGAAGAATAATGCATTAGTATACAGTGTGTTAACTATGGGCTACCCAGGAGTATAATTTCACAGGATCTGTAATTCAGGCAACCAATGAGACTTGCCAAAGGAAGGTAAGACAAGACTAAGTTACATGAGTATTGGACAGAGTCCCAGACCTTCAGTGAGTGTTGCAGTATTGATGAAAGCTGTTAATGTCTCAGGGGCAAATTTGTGAAAGAGTCCAGTTATATGAAAATATCAGGGTAATTATACTCATAAACAACATCTAGAGAGGGGATGAGATGGATCTCTGGGTTTGGAGATTCATTAAAGGAAAACCTATTTTCAAAAAGGTTAAGGTTGTAAAAAGCAGGAAGATATCCAAAACCCTGGATTTAGCTTCACTACATCACTAAACAACATGAATGACAATTGATTTACATTATGGGACTTTTTTTTAGAGCAAAAAAGGTTTGTTTACTAAATAAATTTTTTGTAAATGAGTAGGGGGTACCAGGTACCCCTTACTAATTCATGTAGAATGTACTTTGGGGTGTAGTTCAAAGGAAGCCCATATTGTGTGTGAGAAATAGCTTAACAAATTGACAACTTTGTGTAAAGAAATAATTTTCTTTCTGCATTTTCCAAAAATTATTCTTAAAAAAACACCTTGGGGTGTTTGCTTTCCAAAATGAGATTTTTTTCATTTTGTGGGTGTTTCCACTGTCCTGGTGCTCCAGGGCCTCCAAAAATGTGATATGCAATATAAATTAGATGCATAATTTATAAATATATTAATTAATAATATAATAATATATTTACAATATAATTTTTAGAAAGCCTTAAGGTGCTCCTTAAATTTTGGGCCTCTCTATGTGATCAGGCTGTGAAAAAGTTTCACACATGTGGTATCACCATATTTGGGAGGAGTAGCAGAATGTGTTTTAGGGTGTAATTCTAATTATGATGTGTGTTAGAAATATCTTATTAATTGACAACTTTTTATTCACATTTATTATAATATATAAAATATTCTTTTCCCTGCATTTTACAAACACTTGTGGCAAAAAAATTACATTTTCAAAAGACTTTCATAAAATACCTTGGAGTATTTGCTTTCCAAAATGTTTTTTTTTTTTTTTTTTTTTTGTGGGTATTTCTATCCTGGTGCTCCAAGGCCTCCAAAAAAATGTAATAGGTAGTCAGGAAATGAAATGCTTAATTTATGCATAATTTATGATCCTTGAAAGCCCAAAGGTGCTCCTTGGATTTTGGGACCCTCTCTGCATCCAGGCTGTGAAACAATATCACAGATATGGTATTCCCAAACTCGAGAAGCATATGTTTTGGGGTGTAATTATAAGTATGCCTACACTGTGTGTCAGAAATAACTTGTTAAATTGACAACTTTGTGAAAAAAAAGCACATTTTATTTAATTTTCTTCATTTTTATAATAATTGTGACAAAAAAAATTACAATTTCAAAAAACTCACCATGCCACTGGCCTGACATGTTAGGGCCTCAAAAATGAGATAGGCAGTCATTACATCAGGATTGGTCAAAAAATCAATAAGATGTCACCAACCACTTCTTATGCCATCCAATCCTCATTACAAAGTGTGATATTGCAAACAATAAAGTGCTATAAGTGCAAATAAAACAGTAAATATTATTGTCCTGCCTTCTCTGCAGTTATGAAAGGGTTACAGAGGGTTACAGGCAGTATAACCTTTGATGTCCACACAGTAAAGAGTCGATGATTGTTAACCGATGATCTTTTACTGATAACATGTGATCATAGTACATGAAATGTGAATGAATGTAAATGCGCGGTAAAACTGAAATACAAACAGAATAAACAGACATGAGTACATATCTAACTACCTAGCAATATGCACAACATTCCTCAGTATATAGGAGGGGTACTTACAGACTTTGGGGGTCTAATCAAGCCCATATATGAAGAGAGAAACAGCATCCCACATCTACTTGCATAGTAGAATTTCTTCAGTCTGAAGAGATGAGGTCACTTCCTCCCAAGTTAGCAGACAGGACGTCCCTAGCCTTAAAGGGGACAGACACTGCTGAATGCTAAAGAATGCCTTGTGTAATACAAGGCAGCACAATTATGGTTACCCATACACCATACAATCAAAATTAATGGCAAATAAAGGTGCAAAATGTACAGTTGTGCTCAAAGGTTTGCATAACCTTGGAGAATTGGTAATATAGTATTGTTAGAGATCCGGGTATGACCAGAAATGTGTGGGAACACAGGCGTAGTCAGGGCTGGAGAGGTGGAATGGTCAGGCAGGCCATTAGGTACTGTCAGGCACCGCCCAGTGGGATCTCTAGTACCCACAGAACGGGATTCCCCAGGGCGCGGAGTCTAAGCCCCAGTCTGCCTTTTCACAAGAGCCCCTGATGGTGGGGATGGACTTGGCGCAGGACTGAGACCAGGTCGCGGCCCCTGAGTGCACCCAACTGTGGTAGAGGGGTCCGGGGGAAAGCCTGAAGTGAAGAGGCTGGCAGACCTGGTAACAGGGACAGATCCATGCGGGATGGATGGATCATCTGGGTAGCGTCAGGCGTAGTCAGGCAGGCCTGGCCAGCAATGTGCGGGCAGCGAGGTACCGGAGGAGCAGGCAGAGAATAGTCAGGGTCACAAGCCGGGTTCAGTAACTCATGGGCAGCGCGGTACAGAGGATCAGGCAGAAGGATGGTCAGGAAAGCCAGGGATCAAGCAGGAGAAGTCAGCAGAGGTCAGGATCAGGCAGGGTCGGCAACAAATCAGATAGTCAGCAGAACAGGAACACAGGATACACGGTACAGGGGTCTCATGGGAAACATACACCAAGTCACTGACTGCAGGTCTGGCCATTCCTTAAATACACCTCCTGCAATCAGCCCCAGGTGTTGGCTGACTGCAGGAGTGAGCTTCTGGCTGCTGAGAGCACCCGCTGGTCAGCCCTGGTACTGCAGCCCACACGGCAGGTGAGTTCCACCACCAGTGCTGAGTCCATTCCTGACAGTACCCCCCCCTCAAGGAGCGGCCTCAGGACGCTCCAAACAGTCCTTAGTGGGCAAAATGTTCCACCGCCCGGGTCAGGTAACTGGCTGGATATCTTACTGCCGGAGTCAACCGGCTGGCTGGGTTTCCTGCTGGCAGACTTCTCTTTATGTAGGGGAACCCAGGAAGGCAGGTCGCTGGACACAGTATCTCCAGGAGCAGGCTGGGAATCAGTTATTGGCCAGTTTAGCTGGACATCAGGGGCTGGCACATCAGGCTGCGCAGTGGACAGAGGCACATCAGGCTGCACAGCGGGCAGAGGCACGTCGGGCTGGGCAGCGGGCAGATGCACGTCAGGCTGGGCAGCGGGCAGAGGCACGACAGCGGGCACCGAGTCATCTGGCACAACAGCGGTCACCGAGTCATCTGGCAGAACAGCGGGCACCGGTTACCAAGCTCGACAGCGGGCACCGAGTCATCTGGCATGACCGCGGGCACCGAGTCATCTGGCAAGTCAGCGGGCACCGAGTCATCTGGCAAGTCAGCGGGCACCGAGTCATCGGGCACGTCAGCGGGCACCGAGCCATCTAGCAGAACTGCGGGCACTGGGTCACCAAGCTCGACAGCAGGCACCGAGTCATCTGGCACGACAGCGGGCCCCGAGTCATCTGGCATGACAGCAGGCACCGAGTCATCTGGCACGACAGCGGGCACCGAGTCACCGGGCACGACAGCGGGCACTGAGTCATCTGGCACGACAGCGGGCACTGAGTCATCTGGCATGACAGCGGGCACCAAGTCATCTGGCACGACAATGGGCACCAAGTCATCTGGCACGACAGCGGGCACCGAGTCAGCGGGCAAGTCAGCGGGCACTGAGTCATTGGGGCAAGTCAGCAGGCACCGAGCCATCTAGCAGAGCAGGGTCACCAAGCTCGACAGCGGGCACCGAGTCATCTGGCACGACAGCGGGCACCGAGCCATCTAGCAGAACCGCGGGCACCGGGTCACCAAGCTCGACAGTGGGCACCGGGTCACAAGGCTGGATCGGGTCATCAGGCTGGATCGGGTCATCAGGCTGGATCGGTTTGGATACTGGTAGGATGGTACTGGTTGAAAATAATTTTCGCTTTTTCCTGGTCTTAGTTACTGGAGCACTGTAAGTAAACGCAGGTCTGTAAACGGATAGAGCAGCTGAAAACAGAGAAGAGCTGGGGGATGGAACAGAGGAGGGAACAGTTGCTACAGAGGGCTTCTTTACAGGGTTAAAGGCAGGATAGGTGCAGCGAGTGGGAACAGGGTACTGACATGTGGTTGATAGCAAGGTATACTGGGCTGGAACTGGAGGTGCTGTCGGGAATGCAGGAATAGAGCTTTGCAGAAATAGATTAGAAGCAGGAGTGGGTTGTTGCAAGCTGACTGAGGCTGGCGGTAACAAATCTGACCATATCTGTAATACAGGTTGAACGAAGCTCAACTTACACATAGCCTGTCTGACCAAAGACTGCACTGCGTTTATGCAATCCATAAGCACATGTGATGGACAAGCTGCATAATGCTCATGGAAGCAATCTGGATCATCCTCCAACAGCCATACCAGTGATTCCACTTGATCTGCACTAAATGGTGAAAAAAAGTCATCCCTGCTTTCAGGGGTACAGGACAGAGCCAACTCAGCACAAACCTGGATCAATGGTTGCACCTCAGAGAATACTCTGTGCCCTGATCCACTAGTGAATGAGCAACTTGTATGCATTCCAGCAGCTGATCCCTGGTATACTCCTTCAGAGTCTGATAGGCATAATCTCTGTCATCTAGGACTAGCAGCGACTAGCAGCGACAAATACACATCATCCTCAGGATGCATCATTCACAAGGCAAGATGGCTTCCCTGTGTGGCAACTTCTGGTCAGGAGTGGCCTTGGTGTTCTGTTAGAGATCCGGGTATGACCAGAAATGTGTGGGAACACAGGAGTAGTCAGGGCTGGAGAGGTGGAATGGTCAGGCAGGCCATTAGGTCATGTCAGGCACCGCCCGGCGGGATCTCTAGTACCCACAGAACGGGATTCCCCAGGGCGCGGAGTCTAAGCCCCAGTCTGCCTTTTCACCAGAGCCCCTGATGGTGGGGATGGACTTGGCACAGGACTGAGACCAGGTCGCGGTCCCTGAGTGCACCCAACTGTGGTAGAGGGGTCCACCGAGGGTATGTACCGGGGGAAAGCCTGACGTGAAGAGGCTGGCAGACCTGGTAACAGGGACAGATCCGTGTGGGATGGATGGATCGTCTGGGTAGCGTCAGGCATAGTCAGGCAGGCCAGGTCAGCAACATGCGGGCAGCGAGGTACCGGAGGAGCAGACAGAGAATAGTCAGGGTCACAAGCCGGGTTCAGTAACTCACGGGCAGCGCGGGTACAGAGGATCAGGCAGAAGGATGGTCAGGCAAGCCAGGGATCAAGCAGGAGAAGTCAGCAGAGGTCAGGATCAGGCAGGGTCGGCAACAAATCAGATAGTCAGCAGAACAGGAACACAGGATACACGGTACAGGAGTCTCATGGGAAACATACACCAAGGCACTGACTGCAGGTCTGGCCATTCCTTAAATACACCTCCTGCAATCAGCCCCAGGTGTTGGCAGGAGTGAGCTTCTGGCTGCTGAGAGCACCCGCTGGTCAGGCCTGGTACTGCAGCCCACACGGCAGGTGAGTCCCACCACCAGTGCTGAGTCCATTCCTGACAAGTATACAGTATGTACCATTTTTAAAGAAACTCTTTCCCTTCAGGCATTCACACAGGCATCTATATGCCGCATATCTCTCTAGCTGTGTGGATGTCTATGCGATGCTATTAAACAGTATGGAACACTGACAAAGTCTCTTAATCTTAAAAACGGGATAACACACTTTGGGAGAATTTATTTATCACAACACTAAGAACATATATATATATATATATATATATATATATATATATATAAACACTTTACTGAAAAAAGAGCTGCCGATTAGGTGTATATTAACTCCTCTCATGCCATGTGTAAATGCATATATATATTATGTATATATTATATATATTATATACGGAACAAAGCAAAAAAAAACTCCTTACTCCTAAACAGGGCAATACACTATGGGAGCATCTATTTGCCACTATACTAAAAAAAAAAAATGTGTATGACACTACACTATAAAATGGGCTGCTAATTAGGTATATATTTCCCCTGTTAATGTATACATACAGTATTTTTTTGTTTACAAACATTTTTTTTTTTATTAAGGAATAAACTGCAAAAACAGCATCACTGCATAAAGTATAGGACACAACATAAAAAGGGCATATATGTAATAATTCTCCATATAAAATACAGTCGTGTAAGAAATAAAATGTAGGCACATGAACAAGGTAGGCAGGAAGGTAAGCAGAGCAATAAGGCTACCAATTATATCTATCAGTCAGACAATAAATGTCTATGTGTTTTCCAAACATCCCATTTTCTGTCGAATAAGTGCATCCTATCTAATAATGTATAATAATGTATAATGTATACGTTCCATGAGCATCACCATATCAACTATACGTAGAATTGAGGCCAAAGATACTGTGAGTGATTTCCAGTGGAGGGCAATGGCCCATAGGGTTGAGACACAGATGGTGTGAATCAGCCTCATAACTTCAGTCTGTATCCCAAGATAGGGGCTCCCAATAAGCAATTCTGCACAGACAAGCGCACCGGGGTATCTGCTACAGTGGAGAACACTACAGAAATTTTACGCCACACCAATAAAAGCCCGGAACAGGCCCAAAATGTATGCACAAGGGTACCTGCAAGGCCGCTACCCCAGAAGCAGAGGTGAGACGCTTCTGGAAACATGATATGTAGTCTAGAGGGGGTATAATACCAACGGGTTAAGACCTGAAGGGCCGTCTCATGGACTAAAAGAGATTTAGAGCTCTTGCATGTTATCCACCATGGAGCTCCAGTCCTCTTCAGAGAAGGTGATACCACAATCAGCCTCCCATTTCTGTCTATACAAGGGGTTAAGGGAAAGATAGTTACCAAAAAAAGGCGATACAAATCTGAGCTAAGACCCTTACCCCTGGAAGAGTCCCGGCTAATGCGTGCAAAAAATGCGATTGGGCATGAAGATGTCAATCCAAAATGTGAATTGAAAAAAGTCTTACTTGCCGATAACGATAGTGTTCGCAAAGTGGGATATCGAAAAGTGTTCGTAACATCTCAAATGTGATGTATGACCCACCTCTTTGAAAATCAGATAACCTGATAAAGGATCGATCGTACCACCAGCGAAATGCCTGCGGAGACGAGAATGCCGTGACAAAATTTGGGTCTCCAAAAAATTATGATCCCGGTGAAATAGAGGAGACAAGATTTAATTTAAATCTATAATGGGACCAGAGTACCAGTGAGTGGGAAACAATGGAATCATAGGTAAGCAATAAGCGAGGGAGAATTTTCATCCATAAGAGACCCTGTAAATAGAATGAGAGTATAGCCTGAGATTCAAATCTGAGAGTTAATAGTCGCCCATTGCGATAGTTGTGAAAGGCGGGCAGACAGGTAATAAAGCTAAAAATTGGGGAGTCCAAGGCCACCCGTCCGTTGAGACTGGTATAAGACAGATGAAGTGAAATGTGGATGTTTATTTCGCCAGATAAAATTATTGATCATTTGTTGAAAATGATTAAGGAATGCTTTAGAGACCGAGATTGGGAGTGCCCGGAATAAATAAAGTAATTTTGGTAAAACCTTCATTTTCACCGCCATGACTCTGCCCAAAAATGAGATAGGGTACCCATGCCAGATCTTTAATAAAGTAGAAAGGCGAGACACACATGGTGGGTAATTAGCTGCAAATATTTCCTAGTACCTGGGAGTAAGATAGATTCCCAAATATAGGACCCGGTCTGTGGCCCAGCAAAATGGGAATGAACCACAAAGGGATCTACCCAGGGAATCATTAACATTAATCGGCATAACAACTGATTTAGTAAAATTTACTGTGAGACCTGATATGCATGCAAAGTCATTCAATAACGTGCATAAATTAGGAAGTGATACTAATGGGTTAGTAAGGAAGAGCATGATATCATCTGCATACATACATATCTTGAATTGTGAGACCAAAAGTGGATACCCCGAAATATCCGGGTGTGATCTTATAGCAATTGCCAAGGGTTCCAAAACTAGCGCAAATAGTAAGGGTGAAAGCGGACAGCCCTGACGGGTACCTCTGCCCAATGTAAAGAAGTCAGAGTTGCAGCCTGGGAGTCTGATTCTTGTTTGGGGGAGACATACAGAGCATGTAAACCAGATAAGAATTCATCACTGAAGCCCAATTTCTGCAACTGTGAAAACAAATAGGACCAGAACACTATCAAAGGCCTCATTGATATCCAGGCTCAATAACAACACTTCTTTAGAGTGTAGGTTAGCATCCTGAATGACATTTAATGTGAGACGTATGTTATCTTTGATAAGTCAGTCCGGTATAAATCCTGATTGGTCAGAAGAGACCAAAGTGGAGATAATAGGGGCCAATCTATCTGCCAAAACCCGGCTCAATATCTTTAAATTATTGTTCATCACTGAAATGGGTCTACAATTTTTGAGGTAGGAGGTGATATTTTAAGGGTTTGGGCAACAGGGACATGTTGGCTAACAGCATCTCCTCAGGAAACCTGCTGCCCTGCAAAATATCAGTGAACAATGACGTAAAAAAAGGGGCAATCAGAGGGGCGAAATGCTTATAATAACTAGCTGTAAACCCATAAGGGCCCGGTGCTGTAGAAGTTCGTAATGCGCTAATCGCATGGGTTATTTCCTCCAGGATGCATGGGTCATTGAGGAAAGATATCTGAGAGGGTGTGAGAGTGGGAAGGGGTAAAGAATCAAGCCACGAGCCTTCGAAGGGAGGGAGTGGAAGTTGTTTGTGGAGGAGCTAATAGAGTGGAGTA